ACTCGAGTGGCATTCGAGTGAGAAAGTTACGAGTACCGAGTGACTCGAGTGAAAAAAAATCACTCGAGTCCCAACACTAGCCGCGACGATTGAAGCCCCTTGCAGTCACAATAATATACTATTTATACTAAACATATAATAAAATTGAAGTGTCTGTATGTAATATCAAAAGAAAACATCTAGATTTCGGGAAAATCAAAAATCGCATTTAAATAAATTTGTCTATCTGTCCGTAAGTCGCGTTTGTTCCGAGTATTCTCCGAAACGGTTGGGCCAATTTTGACGGGATTTTCACTGGAAGGTAACTGACATGGACGGGCATATTAAAGGCTATTTTTTTCAATGAAATCTCAAAATGAAGACCGGATCGCTATCTTTGGAATGGGTGAACATTGACTAGAAGAAACCTGGTAAAAGGTAGACCACATGAGAAAGTTTGCGGGCGACGGCTCGTTTTTAATATAAATGTACCTATCTAAAAAAAACGCGTGTATGTGTTATTTTGTGTTACCTGTAAGGGCCGCGATAACCTTGTCCTTGCGGCGAGCCGGGCTCGGAGCCGGCGTTGGAAGCGTTGCCCGGGAGCTGGCCGTCGGCAACCTCAGACTTGCCTTCCTGCGAGGCCTGCGATGATCCGTTAGTCACCTAAATATAACATTATTACGTTTTTCATTGACAAAAGTCTAAATGACGTTGTGCGAGTAATTTGATTTTAAATTTAGTCACCGCATCAGCAGCCGTAGTGATAGTCAAGGGGCGCGGGCCGGGGGAGCTCGAGCCGACCACACCACCCCTGCGGATTTGACGAGCCAACAACAGCGACATCTTCCGCTGCAACGCCTGCACAAAACATTAAAATTGGAAAAACTAATACGCAAAAAAACAACGGTACATACAAGCTGTTCCTATGCGACTTCATCCGCTAGAAATTATAAAAAACTTTATTTTCTTCTTTACAATTGTATAACTTCCAATTGCAAATGTCAAAATTAAATTCAAGACAACGAAGGCTGTTGACATTGGCTAACAATTACCATTACCATGGTAATAATGCTTCTTTAATGCAATTGCCATGGAGTTTTTGTCCCTTTCCCATAATGCATTTTTTTCTAATTTAATTATCTCCCTAAGCTAAATTCCCTAACCTAAGCTTTAGGGGGGTAGGGGTAAAGGGGTAACTTTACCCCTACCCCCCTAAACTAAAGTTTTTATAACATGTAGTCTAAAGCATGTCGTAAGTGTAGGGATTTTTATAAAAAAATAATAATTATTAATTGTTTATGCTTTATCACAATAGTATTAGAAAGATTTGTATTTTTGTATATATTGAAATAACTCAAAAACTACTGGGCCGATTTCAAAAATTTTCGCACTATTAAAAAGCTACTTTATCAGTGAGTAACGCGTACGAAGTCGCGAGGAACAGCGAGTATTTAATAATTTAAGGAAGGTGAGAACAGCTCAATTGTCAATATTATACCAGCATCTCAGGAGTGACGCGGAATGGCGCCGCATTGATGGATCCCACCGGCGGGGGCGCCTTCTTCAGCGTGTCCGCGTCGAACGACAACACGCAGCGACACACCGGGCAGCACGGCTGACCAACAAAACGCACACCTTCAAATACTGCCGCACTCAAAGTGCTAATTGGTCACTAAGGGAGACCCCTAATGTAGACTTTTAAAGTCTACACTTACAGCGTCGCGCAGACTGGTATGAATATATGTATGTATGGGCGTCTGGTACCAGTTGGGAACCTTTTATTGGAGACATATTTCCGTAAAACTGTCATTTAATAAAATATTTATATCAGTTAAACTATCAAGGTTTGTTTCGGTAAAGTAGGTCAGTTGAAATTAAATAGGTCACTTGACCTGCGCGTTATAGGTTGTCGATGGCGGAGCTAAATCGCAAATAAATAATAATTAACCATTTCAAAAGTACCAAATATTACTAAATTGTAGACTGGCTGAAGGGAATTCTTATTGCCGGGAAGTATAGTTGATGCGCCATTCTGAAATCTGCCTGCAAGTTTCACGAACCTGGTACGGCGGTGCCTCGACTTGCTGCCAGTTGGGGAGCTTGTCCATCTCTTCCTTGTAGTACTTCTTGCCGGAGATGAGGTGGTTGGCAAGGCAATGGCTGTGGAAGTGATGGTAGCATTGCGTCTTGATGAACACGTCCCCTGCCTCAAACCCGAACAGGCAAATCACGCACTGACCGCTCGGCAGATTGCACTCCGTTAGATTCTCGCGTATGAGCTGTGAATAAAATGAAGCTACAGATTTCGCGTAAATAATCAGAAGTTAGCTTATAGTCTGTTTCTTACTATGCGCGTCAATCAAAATCTGGCAGATTATGATTAATTAGCTTTCGCCCGCGACTGCGTCCGCGTGGAATTAAAAAAAAACCAAAAGTGAGAGCCTATGTGTTCATCCAGACTACCGTCTACATCTATACCCAATTTCATTTAAATCCATTCAGCCATTTAGGCTTCAAACTCTTACAAACATCTATCCATCCATCCATCGAATTTCTTGCTTTGATTTTACCATTCACTCTTTCATATATTATAATGATGTTCTGAATCTGTATGGTCTCTGATCTGTATGGTCATGAACAGCTCGCTATACTTTCCACCGAAGGGCTCGGAGGTTATCCCAAGTAATGAGTGACTTGGCTTTAGTAGCAGGCACAATATGCATTGATTGACTACAAACATAACTTTGAATATCTTCACAGTTATGTGCAGGTTCTATTTTCCTCACCATAAGAACATTTTGCATCCAAGTTTGAAAAACACATTAATACATGGTGGAATTCTAACTCCGGAGCCACAGATTACAAATTACAAAGATGCTATAATAAAAAGTGCTAGCTATTAACCTAATATCAGGCTTAATTAAAAAAAAAATTAACCCACTTAATCAGAATTAAAAAAAAAATTGTTTATGGATAGTTTTGTTATCTTTTTTGGTCATCTTTCAACATAATTTTCAAACTAAAGCTTGTTTAGGTATCTCATAACTGTAGGTTAAACACATACCATAATAATCAGAATTAGACAAATAAAGTTCACTATTAAATGATTGAAAGAAAAATAAAACACTTTATTTCATTGTTTAAAAAAATCATAAAAATAGAATGAATACTTGCATAGGTGTCGCCAGCTAATGACCTAGGTTAACATGCTAATACTGAATTCTTAATACTGGTTAATATTTTTAAATTCACGAGACAACATCCATAAACACTATTATACCAAGCTATATTTGATTCCAATCCTAACCCTTAACCATAGACAAAGAACAATTGACACTCAAAGCTGAATATGCCAATATATTTCCAGTACAGCTTGTTCTTAAATAAATAAAGCATAAGCTATCAATATTTATTAATATTACTTCGCTTTATTTCAATGTTATCATGAAATAACTAAAAAAGTCAAATCACAATATGGCCGCCATGTATGGAAATTTGTGCCTCTGTTTACCTTTTTAATAAAAAGTAAAGATATTTTGGACTATCTAGATTTACTATCATTTATTTAATGCAATAAACATATGGATGTATTGAAAATCTCCTGCTTTTGAAAGTCAGTTAAAAAAGTTTAAAGATCCAGGCGATAGCTCATTTTTGTATATTACAGACTTACTAGCCTTTTTCTAGAATATCCCAATAATAATTTACTCAGGCCTAGTTTGAATTAAATAGCAGTATTTAAGTTTTTTTAAGTTGATTGAAGTATTTAAATTGATTTAGTTTTAATATACATAACCAATTAGATTGCAATAGGAATGGCATAATGTAGAGATTATTAATCTCAAAATATTTTTAAGTACACTTTGTAATGTAGATTAAAAAAAACCTGTTGCATAATAATGACTTCAGTGTTAAGGTTGTGCTGACATATGGTAACTGGGCCATTTGTTTTTTGAAAATGTTTAAGCATATGAAAGATAGTAAATAATGAAATATTAATATAAAAACATCAATATTACTATAACAGATGATCAAAATAACTAAGGAGCAAAAAATCAATAGTCTCTCCCAAAATACAGCGCAATATACTTACGTCTATAAGCTCGAAAACAACGGGCTGGCCCAGGCAATCTGCTAACTTTATCTTGATTTGCGAGTGAATGCTGGCTATAAGATCATCGTCTAATCCTCTAGGATTCCTGAGGACTACATCGGGACTCGTATCTGGATAGTTCGGGGTCAATTGAACCACCAATGTCACACATACATATTGCTGATCAATATCTTCCCCAGTTAGCGGATTGACGACTGTTTCAATAACAGTAGGCACATTACCGACTCTTCTTATGATGACATCGTCCATTAAAATAGCCACCAAGGCTTCCACTTCATCAGTAACCCTAAAAGGAACAATTTATGTAAAAACGTTCACAAAATATGTAAAAATATTGCATTTTGACCACACCTTTCATCCACGACAGACGTCATGTTGCCAAAGGAGTACAGACCGAACTGAAATCTAGCTAGATCTGGGCTACTTTATTTTACAAGTGCATATAGAGTTCAGGCAGGCGCAATGCAGACGGTGCAACAAACGTATACAGAACACTATACAGCACAGCCAGCCGGTTTTCTACAATGAATCAATGAATCACGGGCAAAATCAATCAAGCTGACTGACCTGCCAAAGAGAATTATAGAGTAAAGTCACAGACTGCTTTATGATGTACAGATAATAAATTATGCCGAAATATTGTCCCAAAAATATTTAAGTTCAAATTATTCTTTCATATTAAAATTTAAATAAAATAACAATGTAAATACATAAAAGACCGCCAAGTAGCGGTAAATATAAACGAAGTAAATTATTTGTACATCCAGTTAAAATGCTTTACAAGTGCAAGTCGTTGGTCGGAAATTCGCATAATACGCTGCGTCGCGCCGCATATCTGCGCAGATCACCTTGAATCTCACCTCAGCTCATCTCCAGTGGATGCTTTGATATCTAAGCTAGGTATGTGCCTATTTCATGTCCATGAATGGCGTAATAGTATACTAAGCCGCCAATAGGTGGCAGCATGATAGTAAAAATGCGTTCCGTTATACACAGATTAATTCTCGTTATTCCGTTGTTTTTTCTTCAGCTTTTTTATTTCAATTTGTTTCTAAAAGAAATATACTTTAAAGTTTAAGATGAAAAAGTAATTTTTAGGCGAATATATCTAGTGAAGGAAAATTCATGAGTTTTATAAAGTTCAAACAATTGTAGATTTTAAGATACAGCCAGTTTCTCCGACTGTAACTGCACTCAAATGGACAATGATTTGGCAAGGTAGGGATTTCATATTATGAATTATTTTTTATGTTTTTTATCTTAAGGTATTTATTAATTATTCTTAATATAGTTTGAGAAATAAAACTCAAAAAAAAAATTGTAAGTACAGTACATTTCTAGCTTTTATTTAATTACACTGATGCGTACGTATATATATTGCATGTCTGTTCCATTTTCTCGTATATAAATGTATTCTATGCATATGAACATTGTCATAGTTTGATAAACGATGTTAGCAGTCTACATTAGTGGCACACGCTTAGTACTAACTTCAATTAATTAGTAAGATGGTACAACCTTTATTCCTAATTAACCAGTTTTATTTTTCTGTAAGCGAACATCGTGTTTTATCACTTATTCTTAAGTATCATTAATATAAACATAATACATTTTTTTTAATTTCAGTTAAAATTAATAATTTCACATTTTCATACAAAAATCTAACATTTAAATATAAAATTACCCTAATAATAGTAATTATCTGCGCTAAAACTGATTCTAAAATCTAATGTTTTAGATAAAAAAAATTAAAGTATCTACAAGAACATTAAATCGATTTAGCCTCGAACAGATTTGATTATTAGAGTCTTCTTTCACACACATTCATAAATTTGCATAAATCTTTGACGGAAAATAACTACACTAAGAAAGACGAACTTATCCTAGCTTTTAAGCCTTATCCTAGTGATTTGTCAGCAATGTATACAATTACATTATTTTACTTTTTAATAATATCAGGTAACTATATTAACCACAAACCATTATTTAATATTTAAATAAATATTTGACATATGGAAAATGGTAAAATGGCGGTCAGATGTTACACCATTTCCAGAAGAGACGACGTAGTGAGTACGGCAAGTCGCTTGATACGAAATTTGGAGACCCATATCATGGAGAGATTGAGAATATTAGTCCAGCAGTGGACTAAAACGCGACTGGGAACGAATACTTGTTTTAAATATCTAAAATTACAGTCTAATAGTTTGAGTGATTTTGTTTCCAATTGCTCTGCGGGTTGTTGTTGACTTTCGTGTCTTCTGTGCTCAGATTGGAGTCCATGGTGATACTACTGTTCTGATTCCGTGATAACGCTCCCGAGGTCTGTCGCTTGAAACTCCAGCGGTCACTTAAACTGTATAAAATTTAACTAATATTAATATCAAATACATAAAACTTTATATATTCTTCCTATAGAACGTTTAAGTAATATATTTCGAACATAATTCATTACAATATGTGTACTTAAACCGTTGGTTTTTTTATTTATATTCGAAAAATGTTTGCTGCGCTACTTTTATACGGTTAAGTATATATCTAGCAACTTAATATATGAATTTTAAACATAGTTATGTTGTTTGATTTGTCTTCAAAATGATATCTATACTATCGTATGCAGAGGAAATATTTGTAATTTTTGTATATATTGAAATAACTCAAAAACTACTAGGCCGATTTTAAAAATTCTTTAACCGTTAAAAAGGTAATTTATCTGTGAGTAACATAGGCTATTTTTTTTAATTTCACGGGAGCGAACTCGCGTGCATTAACAAGTTTGTAATAACGGAATAAATAACACAAAAACTTACATTCTGCGAAGCTGGTTGTTGACTTTGGCTTTGCATACGAAGATGATGAATATGGCCAAACCGATTAATAAATTGTATGCGTCGGTGATGTACCAAACTTGTAACTGCGGCTTCAAGAAGCTCACCACTTCTAATATCCAGTTGATGCCCATGATCACTGACAGTTTTAGATAGACAGAAAATCTGTGAACAAATTGTATGTTATATTCACCTATTTACTAAACTACTTAATTCTTTCGACATGAAATTCGCACAGAAATCGTTTATTATAGTTAACAAATTTGATCTTCAATTCTTTTAGAACTAGGGAAATGCCCTACCTTCGTCGGGGTGGCAAAGAATAGTCTCATATGATTTCTGTAATGTCCGTATCCTTCCCGTTGATGTAAAATATGGTTTATGTTACAGTGATAACCTAGCTATCTTGTGGCGAAAGATTTTTTAAAATCAGTTCAGTAGATTCGAAGCCTATTCAATGTAAACAATCAAATATATCCTCCTTATAATATTAGTATAGGTGGACTCAGTGATTGATTGGTGCCGATGATTCACGAAAATAGGAGTGAATGTGGAAATTCTTATTACCCTAATAATGGCGGTGTTTCTCTAGCTGTTGTAAAGATAGTTTTTGGACATATGCAGCACCATTTCATTTTACATTAGTCAGTCAGTCAGTCACAACAATCTTATGAGATACCATCCTTACCTGTGTCGTTGGAAGCGATGGGCGGAGGGCATACCTGCCGCGGCCGAGTTCAAGACGGCGTTGCCACGACTGAGCCGCCAGATGTTAAATGTAGTCATCAGGAAAAATATCCAGTTACTAGCGATCAAGATTAACATCGGTACGTAAAGGTATAACAACTTTTCGCCCCCTGGAATAAATTAGAACGCGTTGCAGAGACTAAGAGTATGCGTAGACCTGAAGCTAAATTATCGCACAACTGGTGAGTCTCGCATTGATACCTAGGGGCTTATATGGAGGTGCCCACACTACTCGATTTTTAGTTGTGCGATAAAGCAATTGAATTGCAAAACAATCGACAATCGCACACCAATTATGCTATAGTTTAGTCAAAGGTGTGCGCCAGCTCTATGATGGATTTATATTACATCATCGTTATACTGTCGAAAAAACTCTTAAAAACAAACAAATAATGCATTTTGTTGAATTGATAATAATTTTACCTTCTAAGAAGCAACCGCTTCTAGGTATCTTTGGTGTAATCAGCCAGGGAAGGTGCGAAACATCAGTTTCATTCAGAACGGCACACGCTATCGTCATCAACAGCGGTAAACCCCAACCATAAATACAATACATGCAAAATTTGAAGTTTTCACCTCGACGGTGAATCGCACGTGCTTTAGCGTAACCTCTGTAAAATATACGTTCTAATTAGGTTTTTTTTTTTTTTTTAATTTATTTTTACAGGGGGCTTTGTCGCGAAGCGACGATAACGCCCCATAAGTCTAACTCAAAACCTCAGTTATCCAACTGTTTTCTCAAACAGATGTCGGCCAACTTAAACACCATCCCGGCCTCGTCCGTAGACAGGTAAGCCAGGATAGTGTTTAAGTGACCGACATTACATCCGTAACGCTTAAAATAATTATGTCTAATGCGCTCGCTCCGAGCACACTCCAATACAACATGCTGAACATCTTCAACTACACTACACTCACTGCAATTGGGTGAATTAACTTTTTTTATTAGCCATCCAAACTTGTTACTTGGAATGTGTCCGGAGCGTAATCTCATTGCCATCCTTGTGTTTGAAGTTGACATTTGGACTTCATCAAACCACGGGCGTGAGGAAATTTGAGGTTGGATCGTCCTGTACCAAATCCCACAGACTCTCGATCTAACGTCTAATTAGGTTACGATTAGTTATACATATTTTCAATATTTAAAATAAATCATCTTAAGGTTAAAATGTACAATATATTTAAATCGCATGGGAGACATTATTATCCTACTACTTGCCTGAAAGTCCACCAGATGTCGATTGACATCACATTCATCCAGCAGAAGCTTGATAAGAAGAAGAAATATGTAGAAAAAGCTGCAACAAGAAATATTTAGTCAAGGAATGCTCGATATACGAAAATCTACGAAGTGATACGTACAATAAAACAGAACATAACTACATTTATACTAGCAATTGCCCGCGACTTCGTCCATGCAGCATTAAGATAAAAAAGGACCCTATAATATGCCCGTCTATGTCAGCTAAAAGTCCGGTCGAAATCGGCGCAGCAGTTTCAGATTACCCGGAACAAACGCGGCTTGCGGACAGACATACAGACAATTTTTTTAAATGCGATTTTCGTTATCACCAACGTAAATACATCATCTTCCAGATATCTGGAATTTTTCTTTTGCTATTACAGACACTCCAATTTTATTATATGTATACATTAACAAATGGTTCTTACTTAAACCAATGCAAGTCATAACCGAATGTTCTCCAATTTGAATCACAGATAGCAATAGGAACGCTCCCAGCAAACTCCCCACATACGCCATCAGTACTTTGCCGGCAAGATTCCTCAGTGAAGGTAGAAGTGAATATACGATTAGTGTCAGAGCCAGAAACACGCACGAGATGAGCAGTGCTATAAAAAAACAAAGTAATAGGTACGAAAGACAAATATATAGATTTAAGAACAGTACGAATTATAGAGGAGATTTGTTAAAGACGTAAATAATCAGGCAGTTTCAAAATGTTAAAGGAGAGCTTGGAAAGAATAGTACTGTCAAGTCAGAATTTTTTTATTTTTTTCTTACCGGTGGTAAAGAATGCATTACTCTCTGGCATGTATTCAGGATCAAGAACTATATAGAATCTAATGTTGGGATCACTGATGTTCCCATTCCGCACGTACTGAACGTAGTCGACGCAAAAATGATTCGTGTCCAAAGATGTCCATCTTTTAAATGCGTTTGGATTTTCCAAATACACTATACTGTCCTGAAATTTATAATACATTTTAAATTATGAAACTATTATTTCGTAAACATATGTAGACACTTACTCTATGTTAGTTATATTGTCGTGAATCGGAGAAAATTTAAATACAACTTGGTACGTTATTACGAGATATGACAGTAGAAGCCAAAGCTGATGAATGATGTAAGAATCTCACAAAATAAACAATCTTAAGGGTGTCTATTTCGTAAAATGACCAACCAATCATGTAGCGTTTGTCAAGGGTAAGGATAAGAAATTTCAGCGATTGCTTTCCATTTCGGTGGATAGAGGTGGCCGCTTGCTCGTTTGCCACCTTATATTATAAAAAAAAAATACTAAACTATCAAGCAACTGTTGTGCGATTGTCTATTGTTTCGCAGCCAATTCAACTGTTTAGTTGCACAACTAAAAATCGAGTAGTGTGCGCACTTCCATATAAGCTCATAGGAATCAAAGTAAGACTAAACAGTTGTACGATAGTTTAGTCAAATTCATCCAGAGAATCAATGCGTGTGTAACTGGGATAAAGGATGCAAACGATTCAATAAACATTTTGAACATAAATTGTATACAAACAAGGAAAATTGTGCAAACATCAATCAAACATATGAGGAAATTAGTGGTTAATTAACATAAAGTTGGAACTATTATTATTGTTGTAATTAAAACAACTTATTCCTTATTAAGTACTTTTAGTATTTTTATATGAGGAAGAAATTTAAGGAATAGCTTAACCAAATCTAATATAAATTTAAAATTTAAATTCATAACTTTGCGGAAAAGTAGAGCAAAAATACTTTTATTTTTAGAAACTTTTGAAAGAAAACATTATCGGACATTTTCAAATCGTTTTACAAAAGTTAGATATTTAAAACAGCATCAAGAAAAAACATCATCTCCACTGCCTTATCCTACTCCCGTAGAGTCGGCGCGCCGGGATTTTCGTCCTCCAAATAACTCTATCATCCGTCATCATTCAAGAAAAACCATTTTGATAAATAGTAAGGTATTAAAATGTACAAAGAAATCATTCATCTTTGAAATGCCAACAAAAGGATTTGGTTTTAGGAATTTCACAGGCTATTGAATTACCCATATCTATTCCTGAATAAAGAAAACTGTAAACGAGAATTTTCTACGGTTTGCCTTTAGCAGTACTTTAGATTGTAGAACAATTTTTGACTTGCTAATGGGTTTGTCTGAATTTGACTATCGTTTTTTTAGAAAAAAAAGAGGCAAACGAGCGGCGAGTAAACCGAGGTGGTCAACGATGCCCATGGATATTCGCAACACCAGATACTCTTATCTCAGAAGCAACTAAACCGATTTTCAGAAGGGGAGGAAGACCTTAAGTGTGGATGGTCGTCATTTCAATTGACAGATTTTACATTAAATGTTAACTGACCTTTATTGGGTTGATTTAATTTTTTTTTATATAAACAGATACGTCATTAGTAACATAAGCTTGTATTTTATTATTTTTTAATTTCACACGGGCGTCGTCGCGAACAACAGCTAATTTCCAATAACCTATCTTAGATGTGTTTGATTAATAACAGTAGCTGTTGCTTGCGGCATCGTCCGCGTGAATTTAAAAAATGTTGACTGATAATGTAGCTTTTTAATGTGAATGGCATTTTGTAATAGACCCATTAGTTTATGAATTATTCCAATATATACAAAAATACGAATCTTTCCTCTTTATAACATTAATCCATATTAAAAGGTTTCTAGATCAGTCAGTATTTATTGCGATGAATTTGTAAAAGTTAATCGGAATATTTTCCTCCTTACCTCCGTTAAGTAATACTTCAGGCCGAATGGCTTAAAATCGAATGCGTTTCCCATGAAAGTGTCGTTCGTAAACATACCGGGCTTCAGATGATAAATATCTTGTAACGATTTTCCGATTTCGTATAAATCATCGTTGTAAACCGTGTAATTGAAATCAAAGATACCCGTGTAAGGGACGCAGGCTCTTGTTTCGTTGACCATTAGTGCATCGGTCGCGTTGCAACATTTTGGTATGCACTTGAATTTTTCACAGTCCTTATTATTGCTTATTATTATATCAGACGCCACTTTTACACTATATACTGTTGTTACACAAAAAACAAAATATAGAATCAGGACAGAAACATACGGTTTCATGTTTATTTCGCTCCTGATCCACTCTGTTGCTCGTTTGAGCTTAGAATAATAAGTTTCGCGCGTTGTTACTCTGTAGAATTGTATCCCTACACTTAATTGCAATTTAACTGTGCCACGTTAGCACCTAAAAAAAAATATTTTATGTTTTGTTTGAATTAATTAGCCCTATCATTTCACTGGAAAATTTGTGAATTATTTTGTAAATGTTACATAAAAAACGCCTATACTTAAAAGTTCTATGTTAATTGGTAGAATTTTTATTTCAAAATTATTAGATTAAAAAATGGTCAAAGTAACTATCGTATTTGATATCGACTTTATTGGTGATTTAATATTAAATTAACGCCCGTACTAAGTAGACAGGTCTTTCTGTTTTGTTTTTTAAATGAATTTACGGCTTAAAATTAGTCGTATTATTGGAGTTTACTTTTTTTGCAAGATAGTGTTTCATGTATTCCATTAAGTATAATATGGATATTGTCACAGTTTGATAAACGATGTTGGTATTTTACAAGCCCGTAGGTTAACTCCGTGAGTTATGAGGAAGTATTTCATGTAAATATGTATCGAATTTCAAGCTACCATCAGAATAAAATTCATAAATAAACAGCTTAACTACGTCAAAAATAGCAACTAATTTCTCACACACGGCAAATGTTTTTATGTAATTTAAGATTACATCTGAAACTTTAGAAGAAAACGGAAAATCGTTAATCTTAAAAAATCTTAAAAAAAGTAATAAAAAAAATCCGAGGGTTAAATCTCAGGTTTTTTAATGCATTTGTTGGATTATTTTAAAAATATGTTTATTGTTTTATTAGAAGAGCAAAGGAGGTAAATTATGCATATTTCAAAGTGTATGACGTTTTTAGTGGACCGCATGACTCAACATTGAGGTAAACACTTCCCAGCAGCCCTACTTATCTTCAAGTCCTTTGTTTCCAATGAAATATATACTCTATATTTACAGCGTACGAATTATTAATAAAAATGGACACCACACCAGCTATAAAAATTCAAAGTCTAAAGCTAGAGGCAAGCGCGGATCGTGGACCCCCCTAAGCTGGTTGGTGAAGAGCTTAACAAAATATATTTACATATTTTGTTAAGCTCGTGACTAGACCACGACTATGCGACCTCCCTGGCGCCAAAGCTGGAGCCGCCCTTGGTAAGAGGGGTAGTTAAAAGCAAGTGGATTACAATTTAATACATAGTAGCTGTCGTGAGTATCAATCTTTCTTAATATTATTAATACGAAAGTATAGATAGATGGATGTTTGGTAGAGTTTGTAGCTTAAATCTAATTGAAATTTGGCATGGACGTAGTATCATCTGGAAGATGAATAGGTTACTTACTTTTGTTTCTTTTTTTAATTCCACTCAGACGATTTCGCGGGCGAAAGCTCGTAATATTATAAATACGAAAGTTTAGATAGATGGATGTTTGGTAGAGTTTTTATCTTAAACGGCTGAATGGATCTCGATGTAATTTGGTACAGATGTAGAGGATGATCTCGAATAACACATAGGATACTCATGTTTTTTTAATTTGACCCGGACGGAATCGCGGGCGAAAGTCTACTAATTACATTAATGTCTATCCATAATCTCCGTTACTCCTTTCTGGATAATGACATCCATCTCTAGTTATCTTTACCGATGTACACTCAAAACTAAATCCACAACAAGGAGCAGTAACCTAAATGATTTATGCGATCAACGTCTCTAATAAACATTCGCAACACCACAATTGGAAGTACATGTAGTACACTAGTAGGATTGAGGATTTCACATAACGGACACATATAAAATTATAAACATTTTAGGTACCTGTGAAGAACATTATCATTAGGCCATAAAATGTATTACTGTACTTCAGAGAGACGTTTTAAAAGTAAGTTTGTTTTCGTTTAATGACACGACATGTTTTACTTCCGTTGTTTCGGCAGTGGAAACTTTATGCGAGACTGTGCCTTTTGAGGTAACGGAGTACATGTTTCGTTACAAAAAAATTGCTATTTGTTTGTAAAAGGCGCAGAGCTTTAATTGATTATATGTCGCTTAATTTTTACAAACGACAATTTACGATACAAGTCGGAAATAAAAAAAAACTTAAATTTATATAAATTTATTAAAATGATTCAGAATAAAAAAAATAGTACATGAGTTAAAATTTACGACTAATTACGGTGTGAATACACTAAAACTTACATAGTGAAAAACGAAGTTGAATATTATTTTTTAATTATATTACATTTGTAGACGATATATTACTGAAACGACTAGATTATTTGATTAACAATACTTATTGAAGTACAATAATAATGGTCCTATTATGCAGAGTAAGAAATGCAAAACTTTATCAAACTATATTTGAATCTGCTTAATTTTTTTAGCTTCTAAGAATAAATACAATCCAAGAGGAGGTACAGCTTTTTTAAAACTTACTAAATACTAAAATAAGTCATAAAGATATTCACTTGACTCTAGCATCCTTTAACATGATTAAAAATAGACTTGTTAGTAGACGTGTGTAAATCTCTAAAACGGCTCAAAAGTTCAGGTGGCTTAGATTTGTACGGTTGAGCTGCAGCTCAACTAAATTGGCAGCGCACGGCTCACCTTAAAGTGACCTGTCTGGTGATCTGATAATTACATGCAGGTAAACATTGATGTGAGCTACGACCCGGGTTCACTGATCTGCTTCACAAGTTAACCGTGAGCTGATCTGCAGGTTATAAATTCTAGTTTACTTACCACGCATACTCGACAATACAGTTCGAGTACAAATGTTATACATTTATTATGCCGTAACACAAAAAAATATACGGACGAATTGAGTACCTCCTTCTTTTAGGAAGTCGGTCAAAAATGTAAAACACGCAATATTAAAAATAAACATTTATGAGATTTCAAAGAAATGATTATTAAACATAGCAATTCTAAGGTTAAATTTAGCTCGTGTTTTTTTAAAGAATAATAGTTGTTATAGGCTGTACGAGAATAACAGGTCAAAGTTGAACTAATTTCTAAAGATGTTTTGTTGATATGAAAAATAAGCTTGAAAAACTTATACTACATTTTTTTTAATAAAGTGTAGAAAACGGATTATTACTAACCGTCACCCCGCTCTGTCCCCACGTGGAGACAGATGAGAATAAAAAGTTGCATCCATCCCACCTTTTGCGACGAGAGGACGGTTGGAATTTATTTTATTTCATAACGGTTCCATCTGTCGTCTTATTGCTGATAGTGGGACTAAAAGGTGGGACGAATGAAACTTTTTATTCTCACGTTGGTATAATAATTATAATAAAAATACATTTTACAATTCTTGATTATAGAGTACTCTTTTGCTTTGGTTTGATCGTTGTAGAGATTGTATTCAGTCGGTTTCTTCTGTTCTTCTTACTTCTTAAACGTTCTTTTTGCTTCTTAACCGTTCTTCACCGAAGTCATTGTGAAGTCGTCGCGACTGAAAGTCTTTAGAGTAGTAGTTGTTTGAGTGCGTGACATAGGTTGTCCCCGGAGCTGCTTGTATCTAAAGAGAATTAAAATAAAAAATAAAAAAGTAGTAATTGTATTTAAAGGAAAAAATAACGAATTGAAATAGTAATTGAAATCACTTTAGTAAAAACGAATAAGAAGAAACAGCGTGTTTGTAGACATGTCTTAATTTAATTTCAAGAACATCAACATTACTCTACGAATAATTAGGTAAAACGGGGCATCGTGGCAATCTATGAGTGCCTACGTCTTTCTTTTTTTTCTTTTATATTTCACCTGAATCCGCCAAAATGGCGAAGCGACCGCTGCCCATAGACATTCGCAATTGCAGATGCGTTGCCGACCCTTATCCGACGGAGGAGGAGATGCACATAAAGAGGATATTTCCGCTTCCTATGCATCTCCTCCACCATCAAATCCACTTCCCCTTCCCATCCTCTCCTTATGAGAAAAGGGTGGTAAAGAGAAAGGGACTTAAATTAGGCCTCCGGCACCACACTCATCAGAGGAAACACGGAATTGCTTCCATTTCACGCCTGTCTTCTGTGTGGTCGTGGTATTACACCGGGCGTGCCGGCCCATTCGTGCTTAGATGTTAAAGCGGGCACTACCACTGTAAAACACGTTCAGCATTGGACGACCATAGGCTAAATATTACGTGTTAGAACGCAAGCCGAAAGCAGTCGTTAGAAATTCAAAGTTAAAGAACTAAATTTCGTTTAAGAAATAGTATGAAGCAGCGACATCTATATGACAAAATAAAAATCATAAATTACTCTGTGACAAACCTCTTCTTAATGAGGTGGAATATCTTCCGCTTACAGACGAAGATGAAGAAGATGATGACCCCAATGAGCAGGTTGTAGGCATCGGTGAACATCCAGATGTATTCCGCATCAGGGTAGAGCGCGCTCACAACTTCCAGGATCCAGTTGATTCCCATCACGGCGAACAGTTTCAAATACACCAGCAACCTGGTACAGAAGCAAAAATTAATAGAATCAAAGCGAAATAAACTTTTTAAACACGTTGTCTTCATAATTGGGAAATTAAAAGATTTCACTTGTATCACAAACTCTAGGTAGAATTAAAAATAGACCGAGGTAAATTTATGCGATGGCGTTTGTTAAGTAAACTCTAAGCTTATAAAAGCCATCGCCTAAACGACTTGGGTCCTTCAAGGAGTGAGCCTACAACTTCCTCAAAGGCCGGCAACGCATCTGTAGTTTCTCTGGTGTTGCGGATGTCCATGGGCGTCGTTGACCACCTCTGTGTTCCAGACACTCGTTTGACCCCTTCTCATATAATAAGTAGTCTTCTACGATGCTATTTAACAATGGTTTTTTTTAACTGCTTACATTCGTTAAATGGATTAACTGTTACCTATTTATAAAAATGAACAGCTGTTTGAAAAATGTAAGTTAGCAAAATTCTTTTTTATTTTTCGAAAGTAATTCAAATAACATTTTTAAAACCCACGGGAAGTATAAGGGAGCAAGGGAATAGATCAATGATGATTTTTTAATGCAGCCAAGACTATTTTCAGTTTATAAAACATTCGTTAGTTCATATCCAATTACATTTAGACAGAAAACTATAGTCAAAAAGCATATATGGTTTTCTCACCTTTGCTTGTCCTTCCTGTGCTGGTCGTGCATGGCACTCTCCTTAGACTTGAGCACTGCGGTCTGCTGCTTGATCTGTGCTATCTTCACCGCTGTCATCACGAAGAACACAATATTCGCCACGCACAGTATGAACATCGGACCGTACAAGTACAACAGTTTGCTTCTCCCTGAAGATTGTCAAAATTACTTTTATTAATATCTGTAAATATAAGTAACTAGCCACTTCGTTGACGTGGAAGAAAAATAAGTTGCCTATTTTTGGTTCAAAACTATCCTCTACATCTAAGCCAAATTTCATCGAGAACCGTTCAGCAGTTTAGCACTCAAACTCTAACAAACATCCATCCATTAAAAATTTCACATTTATAATATTAGTAAGATAAGAATAAGATTTTTTCTAGAAAGGAATAGTTAGATGTTTCGGACAAAATGGTGTTTCTGAGGTAATTTTGTAACTTTTAATATATGAAATACAGTAGTTTTGTGGAAATCAACGTGAAAAATGTGGATTTATGGACTAGCGACTAAATGGATGGATCTAAATAACAATAGACTATGTTATACTTAGGACATACATATAATGACTACGCGTTACGTACCGGATAAGAAGCAGCTCTGGTACCTCAGCATTGGTAGCAGCGGATGCGGCTGCAGGCCGGAGAATTCAAGAGACGCCAGTATTATTGTAAGAAGGGTCGGCATTCCGAACGCGTAAATCGAATATATACAGAATCTTTTAGATAACTTACTCATCCCCATTCCGCCTTTGCCACTGAAATCAGTTTTTTTTTCAAAGATTTTTATAGTGATCTAGATAATTCACACGCAAAATGGCCCTTAGAAAATCACACTAAAGTGCGGTAAATATGTGATTAATCAATCAGAAAAATTCATTAATACTTGCGTGCTGTACCTACCTGAAAGTCCACCAGATATCGAAGCTCATGACGTTAAGCCAGAAGAAAGCCGCTTCGAGGAAGTAGTAAATGATGATTGCTGTAAAATAATAGACGAAATATTAACTAACTTTCGCTCGTGACTCCGTCCACGTGGAATTTAAAAAAATAAAAGCAGGCAGCCAGTGTGTTCTTCCAGACTATCCTCTACGTCTATGCCAAATTTCAACGAGATCCGTTTAGACATTTAGGCTACAGACTCTACACAAGTCGTTACTAACACAGTCGTTAATTCTCCCTTAGAATGGATTTAGTAAGAGAACTAAGAACAAAACAGACACTTTTTTTATTATTAGTGATTGTTACAGAATCTAGTTGTGTCATATAAAACTGTGTAACTTACTTAGTACGAGACAGGTATCGGCGGAGATATTGTCTAACGTGATCATGATTTGCATACTGGCCATGCAGATGAAGCCGCCGAAGAGGCAGAGTAGGTACGGCAGCAGGACTCGGCCGTGCATGTTTCTCAACTCCGGCAGCCATACGTACACACCAACCGTCGCGACAATGAACACACAAGAGATCAGCATACCTGCGCAATTAAAATATTTAGTAGTAGTAATTAGAAATAGAAATATGATCAGAGAAATAATATCCGTCAAGATTGCCAAATAATTTTGATCTTACATTTTTATAAAAGCCGCTGTGAC